CACACCCACATACACATTTATAGAACAAGATTGTTTCGATTGGGGGCGCTGTCACCATGTCTACATATCATTAAAGCATAAAGACTGTGAGGGCGCTCTCATCATGTCAAGCGCGATGAGAACACTAATTAGAACTCCATAGAGGACAATGTTAAAGTTTGGGTGAATTTCTCCAGAAAAATAGGGTTACAAAGATCAAAATATTGTTTTAATTTGTTGAACCACATGTACATAATAGAATTCTGGCCAGTAAAACACAAATTGACCAGCTGAAACTCCGACAAAATGGATGTAAACAAAACACACAGATTTGTAAGTCTAGCTACCTTTAATATTCTCAGAGATGCAGCCAGTTTGGAAGTGTCTAATCGAGAGTTGTCCGGATCCACAGGTCATGCACCGTTACTTGTCAATATACAAAGCTACACACACAAGACTGACAGCTGACGTAACTGAAGTTCACCTTCATACATTGCATTTCTTATAAAACATGGCGAAAAGAAAAACATTGGCAAACAACAACCAAAAGATTACACTGATCGACTAATTGGTAGCATGAGACCCGAAGAGACATAAACAAATACCAGCATTAGAGCTGTTTCAGACCGTGGGGGCGCTGTCACATATGCAAAGACTCACCTTGGAGTTCGTGTGCATCCACAACCAATTTCTTAACATTTTGCCTTCTCTCTTTACTCGGTAAATATATCGGAGGTCTTCCATTCTCAACAACTGGTGGCTGAGCCTTCTTTGCTCTTCTTTGACACCTGTCAATAGTGAAAAATTAGCACTGGTGTTTTGCTGTGATACTAGTATCTTCAGCAGAGTATTTTAGCAATATTGGGTCACACTATGGACTACACTGTAAGGGTTATATACTAGTCATATTGAGCACTACACACGCAATCTTATTTATGGGGTACAAGTATGCTAACAATTTTGAGGTTTACATTAGCAACCTTGAAAGCTGCGCTGGCAATCTTGTTGGCGATACAAGCAATCTGTTATTAAACATAAGAGGAATGTAGAATTGGACCTCTTCCCTTCTCACTTGGTCTCAGAATGCTTATTCTCTGGGGCGGACATCTTCACCACATGGCAACCATCACGGTGAAAACAAAGGCCAAAAACTCTCAGAAAACGGTACTTTAGGATGGTTATTGAGACTCCCTTGAACAGTGTAACAAGATTACCCCTGCGTGTGTAACGCATATAAATTTGATTGTTCAGGATTACTTCAAAGTTGAGTTCCTGTTCTTTTCTCGAATTTTCCCCGGCAGCGCATGCAGAGCTCATAGAAATACATGGTACAGTGGTGCGCGTCTTAGCAATGTGGAAGGTTTTGTGACACAGCTCCGCCCACGAGGATAAGAATAATACAGGAATAAGCAAATCTTACCAGACAACACAAAGGACTGTGACAACTCCTGCCAGTATGACCAGTAATACACCAACCACCGCAGCTAAGATGACTGGTTGGATACTTTCACTCTGACCATCCACTAAACACAAAACAATGTAAGAATGCAACATGAAACTCTGGGTTACAAGCGACCTAACATTAAAATAGCTCTGCTGTCTTTTCAGAAATCGACTTTCTCAAAACAATGTTGATAATGTTTTATACAATATTAGCTATTTGCACATGTTTATTGTTGATACATGTACACATGGTGATTGTTGTTATCATCTTGTTACAAACAATACTGTGTATCAAATATAAATCAAAAATAGAATTTTTTTTTATTAAAAAGGGCAAAAATATTCACAAAAATGAGATATTTGAAGATATTGTCACAAAATGATCAAATTTGACCGAGATCCATCTAAGGTACCCACCTACATACCAAGTATCATAACAATTGAGCTGTTAGTTTCCAAGAAGCCAAAAATGACAAAAATATCCCATGGTCAAGAATAAGTATTATATAAACAGCTCCACTCTGTCATCTACATGTATGTTGACAGCGAAGCTAACAAAGTATGAAGCTAACATTAGGGTAGATACAGGGAAAAAATGTGTTAAAAAATAATCAGTGATTATGAAAATCAGTTAAAGTTACTCAGTATGCTATCAACTTAGACCCTCATCGGAAAGCTTAGATATAAGTGGATATTATAACGCATATGCCATACCAATGTTTGTCTAAAGGACTACCTGAACCTGACTTTCCCCTGTGGCTACCATAGTTGTTGACAGCATCCAAATCGCATTAGACATCTGGAGCTGTGACAGTGTGTAGCCACCGACTGAAAGCTTCCCACCAAGGTAAG